CTATAAGAGCCATGATGTGTTTGTCCTGTCAGAACCCCGTCTGGACTAACTCCTCACGTGCTAGCACGTGATTTGTGACATTGGAAGTGAACTCGTTACTTGTATCAAAGATGTCAAACTAATATGATAAGATTGATAACTAAGTTGAGCACGAAGCTCCTATCTAATGGCGGACGTGCCAGTCTTATATAGAACCTTCGTGTTCCTGAAGTCGACAATGTCGACTGTCGACATAGTCGATAATCGACTTCTCGACCAGGCGAGAAGTCGACCTGCATGTATCACGTGACTTATATACAAAGAAATCCCTGGATCGCTTAACTAACCTAAGCGATCCCTTTTTGCTATAAGAGCCACGATGTGTTTGTCCTGTCAGAACCCCGTCTGGACTAACTCCTCACGTGCTAGCACGTGATTCGTGACATCTGGGTCCATAATAACTTTTCGGGGATAATCGTGTTTCTATAATGGGGGTCGACCCATATGTCCCCACTTTACGAGCACGTTAAGCCTCAAAGTCCCTGGGTTTCAAAGGTAGAAGTTTATCTTTTTAAGCATGGGAGAGAGAATATTCGGTGGGTCCTTCCTCTACAGTTACCCTCATTGTTCCTTGCTTTTTAAACGTGAGTGGCGATGAGATCTAATTCCTCAACATAAACTTTCTAACGAAATCCAGTTTGAAGGTTGGGAGCATTACGAATTATACGTCACTTACCACCAGTTTTATTTTCACCTTCCCCCTAAGCATTTGCCAAGTCGGTCGTGCTCTGAGATTAACGACGGGAAGTGGAGAGGATCTTCATAATTTGAGTTTCGCCAGCATCCAGCATGGGAACAATCCACTTGGAGGCCCTCGCTTGAAAGTCTAGAAGCTTGTTGAGACTTGTTGGTGGAGCCTCTACCAATTCTTGATAGCATTCTGACAAACACTATGCCGTAGAAAAAAAAAACTCCACTATTCGTAGCATACGCGGGCGTTTTCTACATAAGAGCCACCGCCATGTATGAGTTTTTTTCTTCACCCCTCCACCCACATCCCTTTTCTCACACATCACATTCTTTGATCTCATCATGATCTCTACACTCGCTTTACTGGGAGCAGCTACTCTTGCTTCCGCAGCCCCTGTTGCCGAAGCACCTTCTTTCGACTACGTTATTATCGGAGCTGGTACATCGGGTTTAGTGATTGCGAACCGACTCACTGAACTCGCAGATGTGTCCGTGGCCGTGATCGAAGCTGGGAGCTCCGTACTAGATAATGTGGATGTTACTGGAATTGATGCGTATGGTGCGGCTTTCGATACACCAATCGATTATGCTTTCGCAACAACCGAGCAGAAATTCGGTGATGGAGCTTCGAAGATTATGAGAGCAGGGAAGGCAATTGGTGGCACCAGTACCATCAACGGTAATTATTTCACGTCTTTAAGTGCTGTAGACACCAGCTAACATAATTATTAGGCATGGCCTACACCCGCGCAGAAGATGTTCAAATCGACGCTTGGGAGTCTCTAGGCTCTGAGAATTGGAACTGGAAGACCCTTTTCCCATACTATCTCAAGTCGGAATCTTTCGAGTCACCAGATGCAGGTCAACTTGCCAAGGGAGCAACCTTTGATCCAGCATTGCATGGAACTTCTGGGCCTCTCAAGGTTGGATGGGCCCAAGCTGCGACCATGATGGACGTTGAGCAACCCCAAATCCTCAATGCTACCTACGAGGCACTTGGTGTCGATTACAGCATCGATGTCAACGGTGGTGAAATGACAGGGTTCTCTCTCTACCCAAAGACCCTTGATACCGAGCTCAACATCAGACACGATGCTGGTCGTGCTTACTATTACCCTATCCAGAGCCGTTCCAACTTGAAACTTTTCTCTGAGACTACTGCCAACAAGATGGTTTGGTCTCCTGTCGCCAACGGCGATGCTGTTGCTTCAGGTGTCGAGGTTACCGATGCTACAGGAAACACCTTTGTCATCAACGCCAACAAGGAGGTCATCTTGTCAGCTGGTGCTTTGAGATCTCCTCTCCTTCTCGAAGCTTCGGGTGTTGGAAACTCAACGTATGTCTCCCGATCATTCACATACTAGTACTCGCTAATTCTATGTCAGAATCCTGTCCAACCTTGGTATTGATGTCGTTGTTAACCTCCCAACTGTCGGAGAGAACCTCCAAGATCAAATGAACACCGGTCTCGCTGGTACTAGCTCAGCTAACCACTCAGGAAATGCTGGATACGTCTTGTACCCAACAGCTGCCGAAGTCTTCGGAGACGATCTGGACGCCGCCAAAGCCAGTATTGACCTGGCAGATTATGCTCGTCGTACTTCTGAAGCCAACAACGGCGTTACTTCCGCTGCTGATTTAGAGAAGTTCTTTAAGATGCAATTCGATCTCGTTTTCGAGAAGAACATTACCATTGCCGAGATCCTTATCACTCCAGCTGGCCATATTTACGACATTGAGTACTGGGCTGTAAGTGATCCACTTCTGACCCATCTATGTTGTCTGCAGAAATACTAACCAGCAATAGCTCATGCCATTCTCCCGCGGAAGCATCCATCTTACATCCGCCAACGCAACCGCAGCAGCAGCAATCAACCCAAACTACTTCATGCTCGAATGGGACGCCCTAAGCCAGGGAGCAGTCGGCAAGTACATCCGAAAGATCATCAACACTGCACCACTCAGCGACTCTCTCACCAGCGAGACAACCCCAGGTCTTTCCGTCGTCCCACAAAACGCTACTGACGCACAATGGGCATCTTGGGTCAAGACCTCTTACCGATCTAACTTCCACCCCGTTGCAACCGCCGCCATGATGCCAAAAGAGGTTGGAGGTGTCGTTGACAGCAACCTCAAGGTTTACGGTACCACCAATGTCAGAGTCATTGATGCTTCCATTCTTCCTTTCCAGGTTTGTGGACATCTTGTTAGCACTTTGTACGCTGTGGCTGAGAGAGCTGCGGATCTCATCAAGGGATCTTTGTAGACACTGGAGTGTGGGATGTGTAGATAAAAAAGGATTATTGTACATATAAACGCTTACTATGAGCGTAGTATTTGGATTTGGAGGGTCCTGGATCTCCTGTAGTTATAGATGTAAATTTCCTTATACTTTTACTTAAGAATATTTCTCAAAATACCTATCAAGACTGCGCGTTGCCTCAAAAATTGTGATTGAGCCATTTATGGAAAGTTGGAAACTTGATTCTCTCTTTTTGAAGGGTGAAAAAGCCGCTAAATTCAGGCGAATTGCTTCTCCTACAAATCTTTCAAGCTTGAGTATCCTTTGGAGCTCAAGGTTATATTAGTACCTCGAATCATAATTTAGCGAATACGGGCTCGCTTAACGAATCCAAATATTTCAAGTTAAAGATCTAGCGTAAAAACAACACGAACACACTATTACCAGCTATAATCACTTTTATTTTCAGTCGCAAACCCTCCATGTTGAGAGAAATTAATGTAACACAACAAATTGACATTACAGGACCTTGAATTCGAGATTTTGATCTCACGCTAGATCCAACCTAAGGTTTTTCAGTTGGGAAGTTATTGAAACAACAGATAGATGTAGAGGAATAAGGAGTTCTTTATTCTCATTATCTTTCACGCTTCAATAGAAAACAGTCAAGCCTAGTCTCGAGACAGAAAACTTCGTTACTAGGTGTCAAAAATAATCAAAGCACCCCTCAGGATGAAAAGATGAAAAAAAAACACATAACTTTCAAAATCGACATTCCACCATTCTACCTACTTAGCCACAGGTGGAACCAAAACTGTAGATCTACACCAAAAAGTAAGCACAATTTCAACTTTATTATTGTCTTCGACCAAAAAGAAACTCACTCGCTCTCCCCCTCCTTCTCACCACCACTCCCCCGCTTTTCCACATCAATAACCTGTCTCCCATCCCAATTCTTCATCATCTTCTCGCCTTTACTCCTAACCGTCGTCTGATACCAATGCGGCATGCCCCTGAAGAGGGTAAGATTCGATCCAATCTCCGGCAAGATAACCTGTCCACTACTCCCACTCAGCACCTTCTTAACAATCGCCTCAGCGACCGTTTCCGGTTCCAGCGGCGGATTCAAGAAGGTAGCATCGTTACTGAAGCCCTCGAAAAGCGGGGTTTTGGTGTACCCTTGGTTCACGATAATGGTTCGGACTTTGGGCGCGTTGTAGCGCGTTTTGAGCTCGGCGGCGAGTCCTTCGTGGAAGCTGTGTGCGGCGGCTTTGGAGGCGGCGTAGTCGGTCATGTTGGGGACTGTGACGAAGGCGGCGATGGAGGCGACGATTACGATCATGCCGTGGTTGGATTGGACCATGGAGGGGACGAATTCTTTGGCGAGCCAGTAGTGGGCGAAGGTGTTGACGTCGAATGTGAAGCGGACTGGGTGGGATGTTAGCAGCTAAACTAGTTTCTTATTTGGATATCCATAAAATGGAATCTTCAAATATTAAGTCGGTTGTGAAGTTTTTCTTTCCACACTTACCATCTTTCTCGGTTGCATCCAAGATATTCTTTCCGCGAGCAACGCCTGCGTTGTTAATGATAATCGTTGGATTCCCAACGTCTTTTCGGACCTCCGCCGCAATTTTGGCGATAGTTGCTGGGGACGTGATATCGCATTTATAGTAGTGAACATTCGAAGCTATTCCCAACACATTAGCACTCTTCATCATACCTTCAACTCTCACATCGACATCGAAATACGAAAAAAGAAAAAAAGAAAAAACACTCACTCGTTTCAAAAGTCATATCAATAACATCCAAAACCACAACCTTAACCCCCCTCTCCGCCAAAAGCCTCACAACATTCCCACCAATCCCCCCCCGCACCGCCAGTAACCAAAACAACCTCCTTCTCCCAATGGTATTCATCCTTGACCCAATTGTTCAACACGCCGGAATCGAGAAAGCCCGAGACCCAACGGAAGAGTCCAAAGTAGAAGAGTTTACGGATGCGAGCGAATGCAGTTTCGTGGAGGATAGCTAGGTCGGAGCCCCTCTTGGTGTACCGAGCAAGGAGGATGAGGAGAAGTGTAGCGACGGGGTTGAAAGCTGTTCGCTTCAGCAATCGAATTACCGGGTCGGCTGTTATTCCTGGGTGTATGATTTAGTAAAGAACCATAGGAACGGGGGTCAATTTAAAATGTAGCTTTTGCGAACCTTCACGAGGGAGCCAGCCATTATGCATGGGCATCTTGACGTTTGTAACCGATTGTCAATGTTGAATTAGGATAGTGGATAGAGTGTTCGTAGGGCAGAACTTGAGTTCATCGAACCCAAAAGACAAGTTAAAACGGAAGTGAATTGGGTTTAAGCACAAGAGCTTCTCCTCTTTAAAGCTGCATCCCCAGCTTTCATGTGTAGATGGCTGGGGTGCTTGCCGAGGTGAGGCGTCCCGAAACGCGGGGTTGTTGAGACCGATTGGATGAATAAGTACATAACTTCGTAATTACCTGATATTCCAATGGGGAATGAGTATGTGAAACAAGACGGACAAGACAAAAAAAAATGTGTTCCTAATAAAAATTGATCGTGTTACATAAGCATGTGAAAGATCATTTGGCATAAGCGATAGCATCTTGTGGTCAGACTCTTCGTTTCCCGTTTAAATGCTTGGTATCCTAGAATCTCTTTTTGACCCCGCCGCTCTCGGTCACTCCCCTTTCCACTTGAACGGTGTTTTAGACGTTAATAATCGGACTTGTGCGTGCATACTCCGTATCTTGCGGCGGTAATAATGTTCGCACATGAAGCTATTCCCATATACCCTCTCTACCGCATTCTTACTGTCGCGCCGCGTTCTTAATAGCTTTAAGCGCTTAATTTACGTAGTATGCACTGCTTTTCATTAGCAACACTACACTATCTATATATATATGTACACTATGCGCGTCGCGGTACCTACAATTGTCGACACCGACAGCAGAGTCTATACAACTTGAAGTACTTTTACGCGTGGTATATAATAAATATACAAGGCAAATGTTCATGATGACCTAGATTATATAACAAGGCTCAAAGTACCACCATTAGTACGAATTCCTTCCATGCTGAAATCCAAAAAAACAAACTCCATTAGAAGCTAAAGAGCCAAAATGATACCAAAAATCATCCAAAGAGCATGCAATGGGGTATACCAACTCAAAGCGCCTGCGCCACCAAGACCGTCCTCGGGGTTTGCTTCTGGTCTCGAACCTAAGCCATCGCCCTTTTTGTTCGTTTTAATGGGGCTACCAGGGATCCGCGTGAAACTATTCGCGGATGCATTGAGCGTTGCGATATCGATCATGGGATTGTTGATCGAATTACAAGCCGGCCGATCTGGCTTTGGAGATATCCCGTTCGTGACGTGGATGGGGAGATCGAAAATCGTATACATATCTGTGTCGTTCAAGCGGAAGTTCTGCCGTATGGAGATCTACAGATGTTAGTGAGTACTACTGCTCTGTCACTCGTAGAATCACTTACGTTATAAGCGCCTCGAGAGTTTTTGGAACTGTCTGAATTCCCATCTCCCACGAGGCAATCGGGCCATACCCAGTTGATATGCTTGACGGTACTTCCAGGCTCCATATCCATGATTATCCCCAGAGTCCCTACACCTGCTGTGCCATTCGAAACCGTAAAGTTCTTTCCCGTGTCATAACTGGACAGGAAGATTGTTACATTGTGAATGGCAGATATCGGTCTCGAGGGGTAGGGGGGCAGTTGAAGCTGGCCGTTCGAGGTTACGTCCAACGCGACATGGAGGATGTCTGCTAATGGTGAGTAGGAAACATCAAGGGATCGGAACAGAAACCTACCACCACCGAGGGGCGTATTTGGCTGCGGCGCATCAACCAGCACGATACCAGGAGTAAAGATTTGTCCATTGACCACCGCTTGCGCGTATATACATCTTACCAGCAGAGGAAGAACGAAAGCCAGACTCTGAACATGTATGGGGAAAGGCGACATGTCCGGGAATGAGAAGGGGTATCACAAAGTCACAAAGGAAAAAAAGGGGGTAGAGAAGGGGGGGCAGAAATGGCTGAGATGCCAGGTGAAGGACGAGAAGCTGCTAAGAAATGTGCAGGTGCCGTGCCATCGTCGGTTGCTATGGAAATTTTGCGTAAAATGACTTGCCTGGTTACTCGTAGTTATAGGGAAGTCTCAAGTCTTCTGGTAGAAGTACTAAAGTTCTAGACGTGAGAAGATTGCGATCAGAAAACTTCTTATGCGTTCATCCGGGCCCCAGAAGCTGCAGGGTAGTGCAATTGGGGTTGACCATGCGACCCCTCGTCACAGCCGCATTTTCAGGTGGTGCGATGGTCAGACAAGAGTGCTTTGAAGCCTGGGAAGGTTCAAGTTAAAAGTGAAGTGCCAAGGGACCGCCAAGGGCGCAAAGGTCGGAACGGAGGCGGGGTACTAGGCGGGGCGGGATTCCACCTTGACCCACTCAAGCTTCGGCCCGCCTGCAAGCTTCCTGAGGCCAAGTTCATGGAAAAGGTGATGGCAAGTGCTACCGTGAGTACTCGTACTGCACACGATGATCCAATAGCAACAACCTCAACGCCACTCTAACTCATCCTCACCATGCTTCGCTCGCTTCCGAGGCGAGCTGTCACTGGGCGTCCAGCTCAAGCATTGGCCCCTCCAATGGAGTCTTGGAGGTGTTTTCCTCGTGGTGTTAATCTCACTGCGAGATGTTACTCAAGCACCGACACGCGGCGAGCATTATTCCGGCAATCTATACAGCACTGGCGGAAAGTCCGCGGTTCTTTTTTTGCCCCGTCTGAAGAAGTGAAACAAGCCCGTGTGACCAATACTCCAATCGTGGGCTTGGAAACAACAATTTACACGCATGGCTTTCCATACCCGGACAATGTCAAGCTCGCTCTGGACTTGGAGCAGATTGTACGAGACAACGGCGGCGTGCCGGCCACGATTGGTGTGCTTGATGGACAAATTCGAGTGGGAATGACAACCAGCGAGTATGTACTGCTTATAGAGTGACTTGCATCCTAGCAGTTGAATTCAGTAACGCTGGTTCCTTTTCCGGCTCTGCTCTTGAAGAGGAAAGCAAAAATGCTAATAATACGCCTATAGGCTCAAAAGACTAGCTTCTACTGCGGGAGACCCCGAGACCAGAAAGGTCTCTCGCCGAGATATTCCATATATCGTCGGTATGGTGAGTAGGGCTAATACACTTGCTCAGATATCTCATTGACTAACTATGCAGGGTCTGGCAGGCCGTAAACTAAACGGAGGTACCACCATTGCAGGAACGATGCATATTTGTGCTTCAGCTGGTATCAAGGTTTTTGGAACCGGCGGTCTTGGTGGTGTTCATCGTGATGGCCAAAATACAATGGACGTGTCAGCTGATCTTACTGAGTAAACATTCATTGGGTCATATTGAGAGATGTGCTTACATTGGTAATCTAGATTGGGATGTACAAATGTGGCTGTAGTTAGCAGTGGCTGTAAGAGCTTTCTGGATCTTCCACGTACTCTAGAATATCTAGAAACGCAAGGTGTGATGGTAGCGACCTTTGCAGATGGACGGCATGGAGAGGTTGATATTCCTTCATTCTACTCCCGTGAGAGTGGCATCAAAAGCCCCATGACTGTACAAAATGCAAAGGAGGCAGCAGCGATGATTTGTAAGAAGGACCTTTGATACTCAGAAAGTTGCTAATAATATTAGTTGCATCGAATTACACAACCAGATCCGGCCTCTTGTTCGCTAATCCGATCCCAGAGAAACACTCTATTCCGAGGGAAGAAATTGATGCTGCAATGAAGCAAGCAGTTCAGGAAGCTGCAGATCAGGGCTTCCATGGGCATCTGAATACACCATTCATTCTAGCGCGCATAAAGGAACTGACTCAAGGTAACAGCATACCTGCGAATAGAGCACTGATAGAGTCCAATGTTCGAATGGCCACGAAAGTTGCGGTTGAGCTTGCAAAAATTGAATCAAACTATGGTGTTCCACACGACCGATCTAAAAGCCTTCAATCTGAGGCTTATGCTCCTAAAAGCAAGGAAGATTCTGCTTCTATGTCTGATGTCCATACTTACCCTTACGAGAGCGAAAGCCAAGGACCTGCGAAACCTGAAAAGTTGGAACCAACCTATGGTTTGCCATATGACTCAACTAAAATCCCTCAATCTAAGGCTCAATCTACCAAAAGCAAGGCAAAATCTGCTATTATATCTGATATCCATACTTTGCCTTACGAGAGCGAAAGCCGAGGAACTGCGAAACCTGAAAGACGGGTAAGGGCCCCTTCCATCTTAATCCGCAGTGGAAACCCCTGTTCTATTCAAATACTAACAAAGGATTTGGTCAGTCTAGTGATCAAATAGAAGGTATAATTGTCTTCGGATCAGTAGCACTTGATTCCTCCTGCGATCACGCGCCCCAAAGTTCGAGCAATGGCGCCATCTCATCCCAAACCCAAGCCCAGGTAGACGAAAGCACCCTCGGCGGCTATATTCCAAAAACGTCAAACATTGCAACCATAACAGAAAGTATCGGTGGTGTTGGTCATAATGTTGCTTTGGCAGCCCTTCGCGTTCTTGCTCAGCGTGTGCCCAAAACATTGGTCACCCTTCGTAGCTTTGTGGGAGACGATATGTGAGTGAACCATTATATTGGTGAATAGAATTGCTGACTTGATAGCGCTGGGAAAGCCATACTTTCTAGGTTGGCTGCAGAAGGTTTGCATTCCAATAACGTATTGACCATTCGTGGTCAACGAACGGCTCGATACGTTACTCTCAACGATACGAACAAAGACCTGGTCCTCGCAGCAGCCGATATGAGTATCTTCAGCAATAGTCAAGATGTATATCCTGCAGGTCCCATCAGAAAAACCAGAGCAAAGTGGGTGGTAGTCGATGCAAACTGGAATCCTGCACTGATCCAATCCTTACTATATGATTTCCAAGCCACCAAAAAATCACCAAATCGATCTTTTGGGGTAGCATATGAGCCTGTATCAGTCCCTAAAGCTGGAGGCATTTTTTTCAACGCCACGCCCGAATTGAAATTAAGTTCTTTCCCAAAACATGCGGTCAATCTGGCAACACCAAACCAACACGAATTGGCAGCTATGCACTCAGCAGCCAAGGACAATGATTTCCTCGAGTCCAAACAGTGGTGGGAAACTATCGATGCCCTAGGTATCCCAAGTTCCGGGGCTCGCGATCGCTTCGTGCAAATCACCAATGCGAAAATGACGGACGAGGGAATCCCATTACAGACTATCCAACTCCTCCCTTACATACCCACCATCCTCACCAAACTCGGCTCCGAAGGCGTTCTCCTCACAAACATCATGCAACCCAATGATCCCCGTCTTACAGACCCTGATGCCGCTCCTTATATCCTATCTCGAAACACGAATGGGAGTGAAACCATTGGGGGTGTATATATGCGACTTTTCCCCGCTGCCGAGGTTGTTGAAGATGTGGTTAGTGTCAATGGTGTCGGCGATACGTTCTTGGGCGTCCTCATTGCGGGATTGAGTTGTGGGAGAAGATTGGATGAGGAGTTGATTGGGTATGCGCAGAAGGCGGCGGTGATGACGTTGAGGAGTGTGGAGAGTGTGAGTCCTGAGCTGGAGAAGGTGGATTGGTTCGCTGAAACACCCTCGGAAGATGTGGTTTAACGGCGGAGGATGATGCATCTGAGGACTGATAGCACTATGGGGGTTTCAAGAGCTGAATATGAGATGTACTGTAAATTTATTCAGTTCTCGGCTTGTGAAATGTTAGGATGTTGATGGTAATTGTTTTGAGTAGATTGTATAGCTTAGAAGGACTTTATTCCTTCATATTTGGGGATTACCTGTACAGATACAGTATAAGTACTAGAAAGATACTATAATCTAATCTTTCTCGCAAAATAGAACGAGAATAGTTTAGCCTGGCTTTGGCTTCAAGTTTTAGTATCTTTTTCCATCCCCCGTGCACGTGAGCCTCTTCTGAGAAGGTCACGTTTTATGGTGGTGCTGAGAATATTCGTCCTAGGTAGGTGCAATGAGGAATACATTAGTACAACTAATTTAAATTCAGATATCAATAATCTATCATTATCGAATTCTATACCATGTCTTGAAGGGGGAAGGGGGAGTGGTTCTCGTTATTTGGGTTGTTGAGGTGGCGAGTGAACCCTACTACTGCATGCCACGAGAAGCAGGAACGATTTTATACTTAATTGGTTTTATAGTTGATTGATTCTATAGTTGCTTGATATTATACTTAATTGATTTTATACTCAAACGAAGGCTATTATAAGAGTCAATCTGGTGCGATTCTATTGGTTAAACTTATAATAAGATTCGTGGTCGGAACTAAAACCTTCTCTCTTATCTCAATTTATTTTATATACGAATAATACCACCCACGCTATTAAGATCTTACCTACCCCTTAGGTTAGGGGTTAGGGTTAGGCACCTCGTTTAGTAGTATAAGTACTCGACGCGTTTCCTACTTACACCTAAAATACTACTAAAGTAGAAACACCGAGCCACCGGAATATGCGGAACGCCCCTTTTCCCTAAACAGGTTAGCTGTCAAACTGTATAGCTAAAATGTCAAACTGTATAGGAAGAGTCCAATTCATACGGTATCCGGAACATTCCAGCTGCCAAAACTTTCTTTTCTTTTCACGATCCAAGCGTATGCGAGACCTCCACGCGGCATCATCGTGGCACAGAATTTCTCTGGAACCCCCGAGCGATTGGTGCCATTCCCGAAAGGCAACAGTACCCATATGATTCTCATTATCACGATTTATCGTATATGAAAGTGATCTAGGCCTCACTACAAGCTCGTGTAGGCTGACTCCAGGCCGGCTGGGTATGCAGCCACGTTCAATTGAACAAGCGTCGTTGGCTTCGTGTGACCTTGCATTCGAATTCATTGACCTGTATTGCATCTCCTGATCGGTACTGTAGTCATATCGGTCAAAGTTTGCCTGGTCCAAGCCTCTTCAGTCCTATACGAGCTGTCATTCAAAACCCTCACCGATACCCCTCCTTCTTGGTGGTTTCAGAGCTTACAGTGCAGATACTACCTAGTATGAAAATTTGGAGAATTTTTCACAGCTCGTTTAAAAAACCTTTCCTTGTCTTGTGGCTCTTTTTTGAACCTGTCTAGGGCTTCGATGGATTGCATGCTCTGAATGATGAACTACAAAAGGCGGCGAGCGTTTACCTCATGCCTAGCTTCTGAGGTTGTACTGCTACACCGCCGCAGTAACCTGATGGTTGATGGTCAACGAATCAATTACGAATGGTCTTCTGCAAGCCGCATCACATCCATTACATCGGGACACTTTCCGCTGCAAGGTCCTTTGAGAAAAGCGGAGAAAAAACATCAAAGACAAATAACATCGTCAGCCTCCAAGGACTGACAAGACAGTGGCAGCGGTAAGCGACAGCTCAGCTGAGGCCACACTCAAGTATGTTTTACTGATACAAAATTGGACGCTGAAAGCGCAGGGTTTAAAGTTGAGTTGTACTGCTTCGCTCACCGTTGCTGTGGGAATCCCTGCTGGTGTCTTTTGGTATCTTTTTCTCCGCTTATTGATATTCTTTACTTCAGCGAACATCCCTACCTGATATTTGCAACACGTATTAAGACAAAAAGAATGCTGTGCCCCCCATATCATAGCTTCTAGATCTCTAGTGTCTCCAAACTCTATATAAGCATCCATCACCTCCTCTGTTATATTTCATCTGGTTTGGCAAGGCTCAAGTTTTGCTTCCAAATATTATTCCTGGAGTTTGCTGCTCCTACTTCACAGACTGACAACGTATTATATCTTCTCAAAATGTCTTTCAACGCTCAAGAGGCTCAGGCCAGGAACTTTGTTACCCCCATCGTTCCAGCTGCCTCAAAGGCCCGAGTAGAAATCGAGGAATTCATTGGTGATAATGAAATGACCAACCTCTATCTGCTTGCCCTTGAGGCTTTGCAAAAGGAAGACGCCAATAAATCTGTTGTCAAAAAGAACGAAGATTGGTGGACTTTCTACAGTCTCTCTGGTCAGCAACTTCCCAGAATTCGCTAGTCGTATTGTACCTAAGAACCTACTGACGGTACTTCAGGTATTCATGGACAACCTGCTGAGAACTGGAATGGTATTCAACAACCAGATGGCGACATTGGAGGCTATTGTACCCACGGCCAAGTTGTATTCCCAACTTGGCACCGTGTTTATATGAACATGTTTGAAGTGAGACTTTCTTTTCTTTTCCATGAAGTGTAAATCTGACTGTGTATAAGCAATCACTTTCCAACAAGATCGCGACGATCGCGGCCCAGTTCACGCAAGAGCCACAAAAGTCCCTCTACAAACAAGCTGCCGCTCGATTCCGAATTCCATTCTGGGACCCTGTATTGCCTAGGAACAAAGCAACAAATGAGAAAATGTGGGGTCTTCCGAAGATTCTTTCAGTGACGGATGTTTGGGTTTTACGCCCAAATAGTACGGAACTTACGTCAATCCCCAACCCTCTTTACGCCTTGAAATTTCAAAACTCGGCATTGAAAGCCAAAGGACGTACTCCAATCGCTTGGGCCTCTAACTGGGGAATTGTAAGTCAAATAACTTTTACTTCCACATATACAAAGCTAAAGGTTCAATCTTAATAGTCTACCCCCGGCAAAGAACACACGGTTCGAACTCCTGGTAGAAATGGCGAAACCAGCGTGGCTAATCTTGAGCTGGGCATTCAACGTCAAACGGTTTCCATCAGTACCAATTTGTGGAAATTGCTTAGTCGATACACCAACGATGGCCAACACAACAATGAACTAAGGACTTGGTCGTCTTTTTCCACGCATAATGTCATTGATCCAAGGACTGATAAGCCCATCATTCAAGGTGGTGACGTTGTTTACCAAAATGATACTGCTGTTTCACTAGAGAGCTGGCACGACAACATTCATGGTCTTGTTGGAACAGGACAAAATTTCGCTGGCCATATGGGAAATCCAGCTATTGCAGCTGTGAGTGTGTCTTCAAAATTCGTGTCATATTTACTAATAACTTGAATTTAGTTTGATCCTATCTTCTGGCTACACCATTGGTATGGATATCTGATTTGTATCCCAATGATCATATTGCTAAAACTTTATCCAGCAACATTGACCGCATCCTCGCGATCTATCAGGCACTCTATCCTGACAAGTGGCCAAGAGCTACTGACGCGTCCGCAAATCTTTATCCATTCCAAAAAGATACTTCCAAGTTTTGGACATCAAATGATGTGAAAGACTGGACCACTCTTGGATATGCTATTCCCGGAAACAAACCTCTTGACGCAAAGGGGCGAAATGCTCTCGAAACACATTTGTATGAGTACTATAACTGGTAAGCCCAATTTCCAGAATATTCAGACAACTATAGTTACTTACCACTGCTTCAACCAGGACAACAAGTGGAACAAATCCTCCTAAGTCAGTATCGGACAACTGGCCCAGGGATCTTTCCACATCAATTGCTTTGTACGGCAAGAACGCCAAAAAGGTCACCACTCCAGTTGTCAAATTTGAGGCTCTTGAAGCCTCACAGCTCCTCGTTCGAACAGTTGCTGTACAAACACCACAAGCTATTTCCGTCACCGTTGAAGATGCTCCAAAAACCATCAAGGTCCACAACGCGGCGGCAGACACCGCCGCTAATCCACCAGAAACAATTAAAGACAAGAGTGTACTAACATGGAACGCTCGAATTCGCGTCAAGAAGTAAGGCCTCTCATCTCACCTCCCATCCAGGTACAAATTCTAACCGCATACCTTACTCACAGATTCGCCTACAACGGCTCCTTCAACATTCACCTCTTCATCGGCTCAATCCCCGACGACGAACCCACCAAATTCATCACCAAAAAGAACGAAGTAGGCTTCTCCCACATCTTCGCCACCTCCACCGACTCCCCCTGCGCAAACTGCACCACCCAACGAGCCGACGGCCTGCTCTACGAAGACGTCATCCCCATCTCGCACTCCCTCAAACACTACCTGCGCTCCAACACCGCCGCCGCCGCCGACGGACCCATCCCGCAGCTCCGCGTCCTAGATAACTACGAGCCTGAGAACGTCGTCCCTTTCTTAGCAAAGAATTTGCAGTGGAGGATCACTGATACGGCGGGGAATCTGCTGGGTGATGAGCAGAAGATGAGGGAGAGTGGGTTGGTGGTTGCGGTTAGTTGTCGGTTGTTTGATTTGCCGACCCCTGAGATGCCGTTGGGGGTTTATCATCCGGCGAAGGATTATGCGGAAATTACTGAGGGGAAGGTTGGGGGGCTGGGGTTTGNTTTGATTTGCCGACCCCTGAGATGCCGTTGGGGGTTTATCATCCGGCGAAGGATTATGCGGAAATTACTGAGGGGAAGGTTGGGGGGCTGGGGTTTGCGGGGGGTGAGGAGGGGAGGGAGTTGTAGGTGAGAGGGTTGGAAGGGACTGAGGCTGGGCTGTTGAGAGTGAGAGTTGGAGCTTAGGGAATTCTGAAAAGATCTTTCTTTGGATTCGAACTCTCGGGTAGTTCTCTCGTTTGATGGTAGGATGAATCGAAACTGAATGGATGTATGGATTTATCGTGCGTCTCGTGATTACTGTGGCGTTGTTTACTTGACCCCTACAGTTAAAAGCACAATTTCACAATGGTTCTACAGTATATCAAACATCTGGGAAATATCTCGCAGCGTGTTATATATATCGTACGGATACTAGGTCTAGGTAGAGATTCGAGCTCTCGCTTAGCTAGTCTAGACCCGTTTATTGCCTAAGAGCGAGAGTGGATAAATCGACCACTCCCCACCCCTTCCTAACGAGCTAACCTCACCTATTAACCTCATTGGTATACTCCGTTAATATGTTGGAGATCGTACTCCATGTATATATATACATTCCATCTAACCACCACAAATCTAGACTGGCCGTAAGGAGAACATCAGAAACCTCCACCGATTTCAGTCCTCGCTCTGACCGTAGGCCAGACACAATATTATCTACGGCGCAATTTCCTCCGATACATCACCATCATACCCGGATGAAACTGGTGTTTGTGACTCCTGCAATGAAAGGTATTGATTTTCGTATTCATATGGAGGTGGTGGTGTCATATGCGAATCCCACATATGCTGAAATGCCATGCTTCCCATCTCGCTTGGCTCTCCAGACTCTCTCTCGTACCTCCTAATCAAATTGCTGTATGGTGGAAGTGGTGCTAATATGCCTGGTGCAGCAGGTGAGTGCATCTCAATCTGAGCAGGTACCAGCTGGATTGGTACGGGTGTTGCTGCTGAATTGACGCTGCTGCTACGACTTGAAAGTGGTGAAGGCGACGGCAGTCGCGTGGGCGACAGCAACGGTGAGGTTCTTGGTTGCCAGGTATTTGGGTCCTCGTCTAGAGCTTCTGGTGGTAGTGGTGATGGGGAGACTAATAACCAGTAATCTGCTGCCGTGCCTTGAAAGCGCCTTCCACGTCGGGGAGTTTCTTCACATTCGAGGCTTGAGTCTCGTGTCTCGTCTTCTCTATCAGAAGTACTAGAGAACGGGCTTTCTTTTCTTCTGGAGGACTGCGTAATATCTAAGGCATGTCCTGACGTCCTTGTATCTTCATAATGCGAAGCTGTGCGCTCCTCTGCTACAGGTAAGTCACTATGTTAATATCGCCAACATGACGGCCATGACAAAACTTACAGGTTGTTTGTATGTATAAAGACGCCATCTGAGCTTGACGTGGGCTTGGGGGGTGAAATGCTATATTCTGTTAACTTCTGCTGTCATTCTTACTCGAGAACTTTGGGACACTTACGAGTTGGCCGCCTTTTTCGAAGTTTGTTATTTTCTCGAGTCTTCTCGACTCCGTCCTTCATCTTCCCCTTGCCTTTTTGCTTCTCTCTGCGTCTCTTCTCGTCATCGGAAAGCAGATCCTCATAGGTGATGAACATGACGCTTTTGGTGATTTTTCCCATCCTTCGACGGGGCTTGGAAGAGGGGCTTCTAGCCTCGATGGATGGTAATACCGCGTCAGACATTTTGGCTATTCTGTTTGCTTGATGATAAGAGTACTAGTCAGAGGGTGTAAGTGCATATTGTGGGTTGCTTGAGTTTTGTCGTGAATGGCTGTTTGTGGAAATATGTGACTGGGTGAGGGAAAAATGAGAAGATGAGGAAACCGAGGACTCCATTTATGTATGAACAAAGCCAGGCTTGGTAGCAACCGGCATTGATTTGATGTCGAAAGTTCCGATCTACAAGTCCAGAGTAGTTTGGGTCTTATCAGACACCGTTTACGAAAGGTCCTAGCCTAGTACCAACGGGAGGTTTGCCGTTGGTTGTCATATTCCCTAGTCGTGCTCTATGACAATCACAATCACCCACACCAGATTGGTTCCACAGTGATTCAATCACGACCGAGTAGACAGACTATTACAGCCATATCGGTTGAATATCTTTTCCCTTGAGAAATTGGACTCGCAAAATGATGTTATCGAGTGTGTTGGGATGCTATTTTTGTATGCCAGAGCCGGTTGCTATCCAGTCCACGCTAAGCGAGGATCCGGCGTCTCGCTAAGCTACGACTGGACTCTCGCTACGCAAATGACGTTTTTGACGTGTTTACTATTCTCATGCGACAACACTTTTCGATAGGGAAGACGTGATCTCTTTTTTTGGTCATCATATAGTCCAATAAATGTGTCATAGTCCTATTAAGCGAGTTTCTAGGACTTTCTTCTCGTCATAATTTACTGGCTGTGGTGCGCATAAATAATGCATGTTTCCCTTCACTCGAGGAAAGTCACCCACGAACACTAGATTTTACATAACAACTATATACTCACCCAGCAATTGTCGAATCTCTTTCAACGCATCCAAGCTTCTTTGTATTCTTCATTCTAAATCTACTATATATTACTCTCCCAGCGAAAATGTGTTGCCAATCACCTCAAATGGGATTTTCTGCAACCGAGAGCAGCCAACAACCTCTCAATCTCTCTCACAAAATAATTTTTTTTCTTACCCTCACGGCACCAGCTATGGCTCCGAGCAACCGGGCGATGAAACCATCTCCTGATATCACAAAACGTCAATTGCAAACACTCCACCAGAACTCAAACTACCTCGTACTCATGGCATTATCCACAACAACCAACAGCCAGCCAACTCAATCGAGCTTCTCACCACCCATTAGCACACAGCAAACACCCATCTTACATAGGAAAGCAAACAACTACCTCGCTCTCACAGCACCAACAACTACTCTCCCCAACAAGACGCCAAATCCAACTCCCGAGTTCGTAAACCAGCAGCCTACCACCCCAAACACCCCAACCTACCTCCCCCTCACACCCTCACCCACCGACATCCCTCACAAAATCCGCACCTCCCTCCCCTTCCTACCCAAAGAACTCACCCTCCTCATCTTCCAACACTTATCACCCGTCGAATCGGCATGTCTTGGTCTCACATGCACCTCGCTGTATAACCTGCATATGGCGACGACTGGGGTCGTGGATCTCGGTGAGCTGGGATGGGTAAAAACTAGTGAGAAAGAGGGAGAGGAGAGGTGGGAAAAGAGGGCGTTGAGTTTCTTTTTGTGGAATTGGATGGAGAGGGGTGGGTTTGTTTGGAGGGCGGGTTTGTGTGTGTTTGTTCCTGAACATGTTGAGGAGAGGGATGGGGAATGGGAGAGGTTTTATTTGGGGGGGGG